CAGTAGCACAGTGTCCCACCGAATCTAGTGTTACTGCTGCCTTCATTGGCCAGATCCACTCCCTCAATTCCTTTGGGCTCTTGGCGATGTCTTCTTTAGGGCCTAGTTGTCTATCTTCCTTGCCTTAATCACTGTTCCCATCATTGAGTCTGAAGAAGCTCTCTGAGCCTTTGTAAAACTGGATGTGTTGGGTGGTGGCCCCCAAATAGTCCAAGAATTAAGTTCCATGAAACTTCTATGACAACAAAACTGATTCTCTCTTCTACCTCACTTCAGAGTCATACTGAAATATTTATGGATACAATGGTCTCAGTCTGACCCCACAGAGATACTTTGTAACATCCATGAAATATCCAGATCATAGTAAACCCTCAAAACAATTAGCTGTTACTAACTCCCAGATTCAGAATTACCAGCAGAGTGAAGCTAAGATACCTTGTAACAGGACAGAGACCTGGGGTCAAATTTCTCTCATTTTCCTTCTTCAAAAAGAAAATCACAGGCACCAACTAGTAAGTGTCTTGCCTCCCTTTGAGTTCTCTTCCGTGTTATTACATGTTTTTGTCTAAGATGCACTGTCGCTAGGAGGAGGTGATTTATTGAGGCCAAGAACAGGATCAATTTAAAAATATCTCAGAAGATTTTCTGGCCATTGTCTGTCCTGTTCTTTCAAGGTGTGTGTGGGAGAAGCAGTAATAACCTTGGAAAATAAATAGCACTGCCAGTTGCAAAACTGGGACATGTAAAAGTTGACTGATAACTGTATTATAAATGAACCTCAAAGCAGTGGGTGTGGCTCGTAGATCTGAGGGTGTGGTGTACTTTAGTTAGAAATTGGAAAAAAAAACAACAAAACCTTGAAGCCAATGTAGTTCTGTTTAGATTCCAGTAGTTCTAATCTTTTAAAGTTCATCTTGACATTCTTCCTCTTTTTAGAACATTTAAACAGATGCTGGGTCAAGTCTGAAAGAAGTCTACATGGACTCTTGGTTCAATTTTTCTTTCATTCTCAGAAGAAAAAAAAAACACATTAATTTATTTAACGAGCATCCGTTGTCTAAAATGACCTGATCGTAAAGATTAAATTGGTGACATAAACGTTTATTAGATTCCTGATTGTAAAATCTGAAAGTTGAAGCAGCATTTGATGTAGAAGAAAAAGCATAAAGTAATCCTGGGAGATTATCTAGGCCAATTAATTGCCATTACTAGTATCTTAAAAGTTATTTCTTATTGTTCTTCATATTTTCTCTATCTAGATATTGAAATACTACTGCTCTGTGTGTGTGTGTGTGTGTGTGTGTGTGTGTGTGTGTGAATGTGGCCTGGATTTGCTGACCCAGCCCATGGGAGAATCTGTCTCACTTGGTTCCATGAGTACCTTGACTACCCCACCCTGCAAAGGGGCTGGACCATGGGTCTCCATGTAAATGTTATGCAGGTTCATATTTGAACAGCTTGGACAGGAAGAGCGTTCTTCCTGCACTCTGCTGTCAGCATGTGCTGGATTCACTGAGTTGAGCTCATCTTTTGCATGTGAGTAGATCTGTCATCTAAACTTTCCTCTCCATGCTCTTCTTAATTTCTTGGTTTTCCTTGGTTTTAAAATATATCTAGTAGATGATCTTTTTCGTGATCTATTCAGATCTTACAACTGGTGTGTGTGGGTTAGTTTCCTCCATAAGCCTGGGATGCTGGTTTACACGGGGGCAACTTTTTAAGCTGGAAGGAAAGAGCATGATTGTTGAGAATTTTTGCTGAGCTATCCTCCACCCTTTGAGGGCTGTAAGCTCTACCTGCAACTCTCACTGTCATCCTACACGTGAAGCTCAATTTTAACAAATCACCTCCTTGTTTACTCCAGTTATTCTTACAAGGAGGAAAAACAATGTTAGACCAAATTTATGAAAATTTAGGGCCTGTTAGATATTGGATTATTTTCTGGTCACTGAGATTTATAACTATTAATCATTTGGGTATAATATCCAATTGCTTACCTTGCAAGTGTTCCAGAACAATGCAATAATATTTAATATGTGGCACAGCTATTTGATATATGTGATTTCTTTAAAATAACAGCATTATTTGTTTAATCAATAAAATATATTTATCAAAAGGCTTCTAACTAAAATGTCTCCAATACAACGTATAGCACAAAAGAAGGCTTTACACAGAGCACTAGGGCAAATGAGGTTCATTTGTGATGTAATGCAGGCAAGCTGTATTTCTGTTGCATTTATTATTTTGAGCTCAGTAGTTAGACTTTTTTAAATAAACATTTGCTCAAGTGTTGTGCTCCATTTTCCCCAAATTGTAACTGAGCGAATAGACCAGGAAATGAGAATTGCACTCTCTTTCATATCCCTTAAACGCAAACATGAGGATCGTGACCCTGATAAGGTATAAGATGAAGTCTTTTCTGCCAAAATTAGCTTTTTAGCTATAGAGCAATAATAAAGTGTTATTTCAGGCTGCATATAGCAATAATTTTTTATACATAATAGAATGTTAAGTGGGCTTTTTAATTATTATTAAGAAATCACTTCTTAAGGCGCCAGCCACGTACACCTAAGGTGGCGGGTTCGAATCCCCAGCCCGGACCTGCCAAACAACAATGATGGCTGCAACCAAAAAAAATAGCCGGGCGTTGTGGCGGGCGCCTGTGGTCCCAGCTACTTGGGAGGCAGAGGCAGGAGACTCGCTTGAGCCCAGGAGTTGGAGGTTGCTATGAGCTGTAATGCCACGGCACTCTACCCAGGGGGACAGCTTGAGGCTCTGTCTCAAAAAAAAAAAAAAAAAGAAATCACTTCTTGGTTTTTGGGGGGTTTTTTGGTTGTTGTTTGTTTGTTTTGAGACAGAGTCTCACTCTGTTGCCTTGGGTTGAGTGCCATGGCATCATCATACCTCACAGCAACCTCAGACTCTTGGGCTCAGACAATCCTCTTGCCTTCGCCTCCTGAGTAGGTGGGACTACAGGCACCTGCCACGATGCCCAGCTAGTAGAGATGGGGTCTCGCTCTCGCTTAGGCTGTTCTCAAACTCCTAAGCTCAAGCAATCCACCTGCCTTGCTCTCCCAGAGCTCTATAATTTCAGGCTTGAGCCACTGCGCCCTGCTGCCTTGTTGATTTTTGTTAAGTATGATGTTCAATAAAATGAAGCATATTTAATTTTCTCCAATTTTTATAGCTTCATTTCCCATATGCATATTAGATTATAGTTACATAAGCATATACAAATTACTAATACAATTTATTAAAATATTTTAAAGATAGTCATTTAGCTGCCCATGAGGTATAATTTCTCTTTTAAACTGAATTCAGATAGTGCCCAGTCTGGGAATTCTATTCTGTGCATGTTACTTTTCTCTGTGGAATGCTGCTTATGAAATGTAAAGTAATATTTGCATTATACATTTCCCTCTCTGACTACCTTCTGGAATCCTCCAGGACAAGGACTGTGTTGTTGTGAGTCTCTATTCCTTGTCAGTGATCCTGGCATAAAGTGGACTTTTGACAAAAGTCTTTTGCATTAAATTAAACTGGTGTCATGAGGAGGTTCAGTCACATATGGCCTGATCCAAAGTCATTTAAAGCATAGCTGAAATGCAGTAAAAGGTAGAAGGCTGCCCAACATCACTGATATATGGGAGGACAGGTATAAATTCTTGCTTGGCAAATTCAGTTGTGGATTTTTCTAAACATTTGAAGTGAGCATCTTAAAAGTTTGGATTTAAGTCATCTACCAGTCTTATACACAGCTGGGAGGTCTTTTTCTGTCCAATAGCCTAAGTTAGGATATGCTCACGGTAGCTTTATTTACAACGGAGAAAACACTCTATTTGGTTTGATCTGTGTTTGAAGGCTGGCTCCAGCATTCTGAATGCTCTTGGGCCTTAATTTCTTAATCTGCAATAAGGAAATTTTGCTAAAACCCACTGCTAAGTTTGTTGGAAGAATTAAATGACGTGATACGTAAAAGGGCTTTTGTGAATTTTAATGTGCTGACCAGATGTAAGCTGCCATTGCTATACTGGGTAACCACAAGTTCTGCAAACCCTTACTAAACCTTTACTTTTCTGTGACCAGGGTAGATAATTTCTTGGATCGATTCTAAATACTGTCCATAGAAACATGTTGGTTGTGGCAGTTAATAAGTTCTATGTTTGATTAGGGGGTATTTAAATGTCTTCATTTTTATAATGCCTCCGTAGGTTTTTTCGTAGGTCTAAACTATTTCAGTTTTAATTTAGTTTTAATTTGCTAACTAAATCAAATAATAATGAAAAGAATGTATTGGAAAAGGTTTATTATTAGAAAAGAAATTATGTTCCCACTGTATTTTTTTTGAAAGAGAAAAAAAAATTGAACAAACTTAATACCCTAAAGTCCCCCTCCCCATGAGAAATTCCTGGTGGAAATTAAAAGATTCATATATGACTTTCAAATACTTGCCCTAGCAGGCTGGAGCTGCAATTTTGTTCAGTTCTTTTTGAGCACCAAGTAACAGGTGCTGACTTAGATGTAATCCCTAGACTTTTGAGATATGGATTAAGTTTAAAATGTATGCTTTGTCGAGCCAGAAAACTGAGAGTAAGTTTTAGATCACCAGGTCAAAAGTTTTAGGTTGAATAATATTCCCATAAATAGAAATGTTGATACCCAGGTGGAATGTTCCATTTGAAGAATACTTGGCATAAGTTTATGAAATAAACTCTATCTGCCCTTTGAGTTTAGAATTTGTTTTACCCAAGAATTTATCAGGTTTTCTTTAAACAACAGACTTGTAAATATGCTTAATATTGGATTTTGGGGGCAAGTACAGCTCTGAGGAAGGGTGCCTATCAATATGCCCTATATCACCCCATTCCCATGTCCTCTCCACAAGAGCAAAGTAAATATGAGTTAATTTAAAATTGTATGAAAATATTTGCTTAAAACCATCTCTTTGGAACAGAAAATATCAATTTATTGAACTTATATCTCCTTTCTTTTTCCTTAAGGAAAATGGTGTTGAGCGCTTGTGTTCTGAGAGCCTGCCGCAGCCCAGGTTTGTCTCTTCTGTGTATGTGAATTTGTACCCATACTGAGTTGGCTTTTAAGAGAATTCTTGGACCTGACATTCCAACATATTTCTTTTATTTTTTTGGCAGGGAACATCCTATGCCACCATCACCCCAACCCAATTCATCCACAGACACTACTGTAACTTCAAGTGGTGAGTGGACTTGGAAAAACACACAAATGGGGTGTCAGTGTTATAACGTAAGCCTGCTGCCCTGTGGCTCGCTGAGTGTGTGCAAATGAGGAGACTAGAGGCAAATAGGTTTTTTTGCATGGTACTCACACTGGTAGTTTCTTCCTGTTGATAGGTTCTGCATCAGAAAATTTGCATATGGCTTCTAGTGACCTTCATGGTCAGTCACTCTGTAAGTAGGAAAAGGATATGTCTATGATGATAGAGACCCGAGGTGAGCTGCTGATATGATAGAGACCCGAGGTGAGCTGCTGATGTGATAGAGACCCGAGGTGAGCTGCTGATGTGATAGAGACCCGAGGTGAGCTGTTGAAGGGTGTCAGTGGAGTTTCTGTTCTAAGACACAAAGCAAATCTATGAGCTAGTGGAGTCACTGTCCTATAGCACAATATTTATTTAATACTAATTTTCATGAAATAATTCTTATAAAATAATTTTGAAAACATAGTCTGGAGAAAGTAAGTCAAGAGGGAAACTACATTCTTATGTAGGTGTATGTCACTGATTTTTTTTTCAATTTGTAGATAGAACAAAAATTGCAATATATTATAATGTGACTTAAGTATTTCCTATGGCCATGATTGACTGGACATAACTGGGTTTCAATTATTATACAGATGTGACACCACCTATTTAGGAAACCCTTGGAATTCTATAGAATCTATCATGTTAGAAGGATAGACCAGTTAGTAATAGTCCTCTCAGGAGGCAAGAGAATTAACCAGCTGGTGTGTTACATCCCTTTCTGCTATTTGACTTGGAAAACAAAGTAATTATTCTCAGTCATTCTTGGTGACACATCATTATAATTGACATTCGTGGGAGAAATAGACTCCAGTTCCTACCAAAACCCAAAAAGATCAAGGAAAATCCATAGTATTATTTGAACTCTACATTTAAATTTGAGATATTGGTGCTAAATTAGAGAAGCCATAAAATTATAGAAATGGACTACGTTTTATGGGTTAATTAAAGAACATCTTTATTCTCCATTTCATGTCTAATGAGGAAATGTTTTAATTAAAACTGCACCAAGATACCATTTCTCACCTGTTATATGGACAAAGATGTAAAAACGTTACACTCTGTTGGCAAGGCTGTAGGGGGATGAGGGAAAATGTGAATTTTTGTAACTACAGTAACTCCGTCTTATATTCAGAGGCTATATTCCAAGATTCCCAGTGGCTTCCTGAAACTGAGCATACTATGTATACTACATACATATGATAAATTTATTTTAGTAGTTAGGGACGGTAAGAGATCAACAATAATCAAAAAATTCTAATGACAAACTATAATAAAAGTTACATGAATGTAGTCACTATCTCTCTCTCGAAATATCTTACTGTATGTGATATTCAGACCATGGTTGACTGCAGCTAACTGAAACCAGGGAAAGTGAAACCTCAGATAAGAGGAGACTATTGTAATACACAGGGAAATTCTCTAATAGCTCTCAAAATGTTACATGCACACATC